ACTGGGAAGAAGGATGGACCATCTACTTCTGAAATAATTAGTCACTAAAAACATTATGAATAGCAGGGAAACACTGTCTTATATATTACTGGAAAACTCTATGAATAACAGTGAAACAATGAAACATACCTGACCTACCAACTGGAAGACATCCATAGTTGTGTCCATTCCAAAGACAGGTGATTCCACAGAATGTGGAATTTATCAAACAGTATCATTAACATCACATTCAAATAATTAAAAAATGGTTATAGCAGTATATTGACAGGGAAATTCCAGAAATTCAAGCTGAATTCAGAACAGGACATGGAATGAGGATGTCATTATGGATGTCAGATGGAACTTGGCTGAAAGTAAATAATACCAGAAAGATGTTTACCTGTGTTTTATTGACTAGGCAAAAGCATTCAACCATATGGATCACACCAAATTATGGAAAACATCATGAAGAATGGGATTCCAGAACACGTAATTGTGCTCATGAGAAACCTGTACATAGACCAAGAGGAACTCATTCCGACAGAACAAGGGAGTACTGCATGGTTTTAAATCAATAAGGGAGTGCAACAGGGTTATATCCTTTAAACATACTTATGCAATCTGCATGGTGAACAAATAACCTGAGAAGCTGGACTATATGAAGAAGAACATGGCATCAAGATTGGAGGAAAACTCATTTGCAACCTCTGATATGCTCATGACACAATAATGCTTGCTGAAACTGAAGAGGAGTTGGAGTACTTATTGATGAAGATCAAAGACTACAGTCTTTAGTATGGATTACACCTCAACATAAAGAAAACAAAAATCTTTACACCTGGACTTCTATGCAAAATCTCAATAAATGAAAAGATTGAAGTTGTCAGGGATTTCATTTCACTTGGATCCACAATCAACACCCATGGAAGCAGCAGTCAGGAAATCAGATGTTGTAGTGTATTGGGTAAATCTGCTGCAAAAGACTTCTTTAAAGTGTTAAAGAGCAAAGATATCAGTTTGAAGATGAAGGTGGGCCTAACCCAATCCATGGTATTTTCAGTTTCCTAATATGCATGTGAAAGGTGAATAATGAATAAGAAGACTGAAAAAGAACTGATGCCTTTGGATGGTGGTGTTGGCAAAGAACACTGAAAATACCATGGACTGCCAGAATAACTAACAAATCTGTCCTGGAAGAAGTGCAGCCAGATGCTCTTTAGAAGTGAGAATGGCCAGACTTCATCTCACCTACTTTGGTCATGTTCTCAGAAGGGACCATTCCATGTAGAAGAGTATCATGCTTGGTAAAGTAGAGGGTCAGTAAAAAAGGGCAAGACCCTCAATTAGATGGATTGACACAGTATCTGCAACAATGGCCTCAGACTTGGGAAGAATTGTGAGGAATGATACACGTCTAGTCAGTGTTTTGTTCTGTTGTTCATAGGGTCGCTATAAGTTGGAGCCAACTTGGCAGCACCTACCAACAACATCACATTGGCAAGTGAAGGACTAGTTGCAAAAGGACTGATAGAATGAATGTGACAGCATTTTATATTAAAACCAGATATGTATTGGATAGCCCAGGTCTTAGTAATAATGAATGTGTCAGAAACACAAATCTTTAAGTACCTTTCACCACAACTCAGGATTTTAATGTTTCTGTTAACAAAGTTGATGGCATTCTAGAGCTGCCTCAAATAATAGAGTTTTTGCTTCTTGAATGATTAACATATCAATTGGATTTCACTATTATTTTTTCACACTTAATTTCTGTAGTTATCTTTAAAGTTGCCAATTGTACATGGTGACCAGAGTACTATGCCATCTCTTCTCTTATAGCATAAGCATTTAACCATTTCACTATTCCTTGCACAGTGCCGTGAAAAAGTTGTCATCAGTAGATTCTGTTGAAGATAGGAGTTGCTGTTTTTTATGTTATTTTAATTTTAATATGCACATGATGATCATTTTAACTTAGTTTTATTTTTTCAAAAAAAGAGAGTATAGTGACATGATCTTTTCTCCTCCTTTCACATGCTGCTGTTGACTCCAAAGAGAGACACCCAATTACAAATGCTATTGATGGAAAGAACACTTGGTGGCAGAGTCCCAGTATTAAAAATGGAATTGAATACCATTATGTGACAATTACACTGGATTTACAGCAGGTATGTTTCTGCTTTTTTATTATTTCTCACTTCTGAAATTACAACTTGGATTTGTTATTGTTTAGTTAACAGTCTTGGGTGAAAGCATATTTTACCTTATCACCTTCCATTATTTTTCTTGATACAATGAACAAAGTGCCTATTCATTTAGTAAATTTTCATATATATATATTTGACATTCATTTCTAAAAGCATAAATAAAATGAATCCTCATGAAGAGTTTAGTGAATTAGTAGCTGACTCTGTTTTGATTAATTAGAGTTAATGATGAAAATATGAATCAACACAATTTTGCATAAATAAAATATAATAGTACTATTTTTAACTTTTAAAGGTGTACAGTGTTCCCACTCTGCTGATAGTGTGTGCATTTAAAGGTTGTTGGATAATAAGGCTCTTGAGTAAATTGCCTCTCATTACTGAGATTTGAACTAGCTGTGACAGTTGATTCTTAAATTAAATTTGGTCTATTAAACGAAGGAACAAGCCTAGTAGTAATGTAAAATTGATGTTAGAAGTTGTTAGAGGTTGTATTGTATAAGCCTGGTGCCTTCTATTCTTAATTTTATTCTTCTTTCAGTTCACATTATTCAGGTCAGGCTGAAATTAATAATCAAAAATCACCATTACTTAAATTAATTAAACTTGCAAATAAGAAGGCATATGGAAAAATGGTCATTTACTTGCCTTTATTCCAGAAACAAAGACTTATGTAATTGACTGAAGGCTTACACTAGAGATGTTGGACTTGCATTGCCTTTTTCAATCATCCTGCTTCAGTCTCACTCTCTGAAATCAGGGTAGAGGGATCCTAAGCCACTCCTCCCTAGCCCAGGGTAGAAAGAGAGTTTTGGATTAATACTGTTACTGTTAATAATATTGTTGTTGTTGTTATGTGCCATTGAGTTGGACCCAACTCATAGCGACCCCTCCTTGGGTTTCCAAGGCAGTATCACTATGGAAATAGATTGCTCAACCTTCCTTCTGAGGAGTGGCTGGTGGGTTTGAACCACCAGCCTTCTGGTTTACAGTCAAGTGCTCTGGGCACTATGCTACCAGAGCTCCTACTAGAGGATGGTAATGATAACAACTGATGTGATACATTGTCATGATAATGGTTTCCCATTAGGGAAGCACCAACCAGTGGGGATTAATCCTGCTCTCAGGAGGTCAGATAGACATCTAGCATTTCCCTAGTGGTGCCCCATCTGGAGCACCTCCTCCTTCCTCCTAGGTCTGGACCCACCTTGGCCAGGGCTGTACACATTCAGGCTGGCTGGTGGGCTATAAGGTCAATAGGTCTCAGGGCAGACCCTCCTTCCACCCATCTGGAACTCCTCAAGACCTGAACAACTGGGTGAAACAAGGCTCAGAGCTGCAGCTAAATAGCTAACTGGCAAGTATTTTATCTGGTATACAGCAACTGAGTTATCAGCCCTGAGTTAATGACATAACCTAGGAAGTCTGAGAGCTTTATCTTGGAATGACAGGACAAGCTACCACACTGATCAATCATGTTTTAGATCATGAATTTTATGGGGATCCTAGACTCAAAAGGGACTTCATCTTCCTAGTGAAGATAGTCTTTGATGGGTCACAGCATTCTCCCCCCTCCATGTCATCATTGAAAGTCAGCCTTCCTCATTAAGAGTGAGTCTGCTGTTCAGTGCCTAGGGTCATCTCCTGGAGTAGGGAGTCAATAAATAGTGATGTTTGATTGCTCTGGTTTACTCTCTACTTATTCTTTTAGACTACACATAGAGCAAGAGTCAATTACTAATATAATTTGCACAGATCATCTATACTACTCTTTGAGCCTGACCACAAGTTTATTTTGTTATCAAACATAACCTTTTTTTCCTTGTGATCTATAAATGGACTGTGCAATCTCAAAATTTTACTAAATCATTTTATCCTATTTACTTATCATCATTAATTCAGCAGGTCAAAGAGTTCACCTGGAAGCCCATTTATCAATGAAACCATTTATATTCTTCTAAGCTTCCTCTTCATCCCCGCACATCCATTCCCATATTGTAGATCTGGAATCATAGTAAAACTGCTAAAAAAAAAAAAGGACAGATAAAAATAAAATCTTTAAGGGAATCAGAGAAAAGATACTTCAAAGGACAACAGAAACTCTCTTCTCTGCATAACCAATGGAATCCTGAAGACAAAAATATGAGCTAGAAGAAAATAACTTCAAACCTAGAATTCTATATCCAATAAAAATATAGTGTGAATAGAGATGAATTCTGTAATATATCCAGTTTAACCCATAGACCCAATGGGAGATTAATTTATGTATTAGTCTTGACATATTCAAAATACTAAAAGTTGTTACTGGTTTCTGAAAAGTCATCTCTTCCACTCACCCAAGAGAGATTTACCATTTTAGAAGCCTTGGTAGCACAGTGGTGAAGCGTTTGGCTGCCAACCAAAAGGTTGGCAGTTTGAATCCACCAGACACTCTGTGGTACAGAGATGTGGCTCTGGGAACCCCATGAGGCAATTCTACTCCTGTCCTGAAGGGTCACTAAGAGTCAGAACTGACTCAATAGCAATTGGTGTCTTAAGAGTTATGGAAGTTTTTTCTGCTGTTCTCTCTTCTTCCTATTTTCTTTAATAGCCTTAAGATGAGTGAAAACTTCTAAGAAAGATTTTATAATTTAGTCTTTATGATAAGTGGTAGAACTGTTTATAACTCAGACCTATCTAACTCCAAGTTCTGGAGTATACTGAGTGAAAGTTGTTAGATATGTCCTGAAGCAGTCCCATACTCCAAGATGGTTCTTAACCCTTATCCTTAACTATCCTCAGCCCTCTCTTACATCATGCAAATCAACCTACTGGTTGTTCAACAGAATGGGAACACAAATAATCTATATATGGAAGAAATCTTTATTTTCAGTTGACTCACAATTTAAATTCTTTTGATGATTTTAATAAAGAACCAACTGTGGTGGCACAATGGTTAAGTGCTTGGCTGTTAACCAAAATGTTGGTGAGAGAAAAGACTAGACAATTTGTGTCTGTAAAGATAAAATATAGGATACCTTATGGGGCAGTTCTGGTGGCATTTGACTGCTAACTGGAAGGCTGGTGGCTCAAACCCACCAGCCACTCTTCAGAAGAAAGATTGGGTAATCTACTTCCATAGTGATACTGCCTTGGAAAATTAAGGAGGGGTCACTATGAGTCAGATCCGACTCGAGGGCAGTGAGGTTTTTTTTTTTTTTTTTTTTTTTTGAATGGGACACTTCTATTATGTCCTATTAGGACATTGTGAGTTGAAGTCTGGAATCGACCTGGTGGCACAACAACAATAGCAATGGTTTTAATGATGTAAAATTTTAATTAGGGTTTGTAATAAGGTTTTGGGATAGAATTCCTCAGGCAGGCAGGGACTGCTGATTTCTGTTTAGCTCCTTGACTTCAGAGTAACAAACTGTGAGACAGGTTCATGGTATTTACTTAGCTAAGGAGCAAAGCTATAGGAAGGTGTATTTCAATGTGCCAGCAAAACAGAGAATGAGAACATTTTTATTATTTCATTTACCAACAGTCCCTGGATTATGAATGGGTTTTATTCCTAAATTTGTTGAATGTGTATGTAAGGTGGAACAGTTGATATGGTTCATGTCTAATGTCAGTCAAATGTTTGTCTTAGTGTATAATAGACAGTTTACATTTCTATCCATTAAAAAAAAAATTAAAGAAACACTTCCAGATATACTAAATATCTTTAACATAAAGATACAGTAATAATAAAAATAATGTTTTTATACAAGTCAGAAAGCAGCACCCATTTTTATTATGAACCATTGTATGTATGTCAAATTTTTAATATAATAGGGTATTTGGGGATTGATTCATGACTGTGGGCTGCACATAAGTCAGAAGTTGATAACCTGGGGTCTACCTGTACTACTCATGTTAATTCAATGATGTAACTAGTGTTAGCATCCCTATTTAATAGTTGAAGAACACTGTGGCTTAGAAAAATTCTGATTTGCACTCATTTACCCAGCTTACTAGAGGCAGAGCTATGATTTCAAACTAAACAGTCTGTATCCAGACCCCAGATTCTTAACCACTACATCAGTATTTCCTAAACTGCTATCTGAAGACCTAGGTAATGCATGATAAGTTTTTGCATATATTTTCAAACAGTCCCTACATTGTTTAGGCTTGAGAAGCACCACCTTATGCTCTACAAATTTCACAGGAGAATATCATCAACATCTATTTCATCATGAAACAGGGACTAGTATCTCATTTTCTACTGTACTTTATCATGCCTCTAAAATGGCATAAGTTCTTTTTTTTCTTCTTCTACTTATGCACAATTAGTATTCATGTTATAAGTAGAAATATTCAGTGCACTATAAGTAATTACTCAATTAAGAGTTATGGACAGTAGTTATTATAAATAGGTGACAATCATTGAATGTTTGTTTATCTTTGATTCAGTACAGGATTGATCATTTATTAGTTCTTTTTATTTTGCAATGGATGAATTTCAACAAGTGTCAGTACTTTTGCAGACACATACTTGGCTTTTCTTAGAGATACTTATAATAAACATTTTAAGTAACAATTGGCTTACCTTTATTAAATCATTACAGATCACACTGCAACATTTCTTTCAAATTTTAGCATCCAAGGCAAGCAGTAGGGAAATATAACAATTTATTTACAAGAAAATAGCTGCTTATTTTAAAATTGTTTTTAAACATTTATTGCTAGGAGATTATTAACTTTTCCCAATTCAGCTATTTACTCACAGCATATTTGGATCAAATGATTTAATCATGCTGTGCCACCACTTGTAGATTAGCAAAATAAATATTATAATAGTGTGGCAAAAAAATCAAAATAATGATAATAGCCACATAACAACTAAACTCCATCTGGCAATTGTGGCAATACAAGGACCTTGAATCAGAATAACCTTGAAGAGAAGCTGAACTGTTTCCAACAATGTGTATGCAAAAACC